GTGTCCTGCACCCGTGTCTGTGACCTCCCGTGGGGGATAACCCCTGACATCCCACCCTCAGTCTCCTACCAGCATGCTCAGCTCCTGTCCCACCAAGGAGAAAATCACACGTATTGTTCAATTGCCTCTATCACAGGGCTGGGCAAAGGTGGTTGTGAAACCCAAAAGGCTTTTCAGTGTTTATCCCTGTTCAGCCAGAGAATATCTTGATTGAACTTCCCACTCTCCCAAGTTGCATCAGCCTAACGTCAGCTCCTGGTTTGGGGTTTTGCTGTGTCCCTTCCCTGCTGGAGCATCTGTCACCCCTCCCTCCTTCCCCAGCATCCCGGTTATGTGAGCTCATCTCTGTGATGCTGGAGGCATTTGGCCCATGGGCACAATGTGGCTCCACTGGAGCATCCATCCTTCCCCCCTGAGCCCTTTCCCTGGGGCAGCCCCGTCCAGGCTGGAGAGCAAGGGAAATATTTCTGTGGTTGCATCAGGGTGTTCCTGGCTCCCGCCTTTCCCGTGGATACCGGGAGCTTGTGCACCACTGGGGCTTCCCCAGCTGCTCTCAACGCCCTGCCTTCAGCTCTCCATCTCTCCAAGCTTTTCCCACTGGGTTTTGGGCTTTTACCACTGGGTCCTGTCCAGGGTCAAACCTCGAGGAACAGCTTTCCCTGCACGTGTGCTCGTGTGACATTTGTGGTGCTGTGCCCAAGGTTCACGGTGTGTTGAGCCTCACCTGGGTGTCCCCCTCTTCTCCTCCTACACCATCAGCTGTTGGAGCTGCTGGTGATGGCAGTGTCCCCAGTGAAATGTGCTCTCCTGGGGGGCCTTATTCTGGACAAAACCTGCTGGAAAACCCTGCCAGGGATGTTATCACCCTTGGAAGACGTTTGAGTGGAGTCCAAGGTGGCGAGGGAGGAGGAGAGGTGATGGTCGCTGGAAGACCTAGCTGGATGCAAGGAGGCTCAGCCCTGCCTTGGTGTCTGGAGACCTCTTTTCCTCTGAGATTCAATCCTGGAGGCTTCTGAAATGGTTCCGCCTGGGAAAGGCACTGCTGGGGTTGGCACACACAGCTCTGAGCTTTCCCCACTCTTTCCCGTGCCCAAACCAAGAGCCAGGACACTCTAAACCTTTCTGGGTCATGACAGAGTGACATTTCCCTTGGGGAATCACTTGCGTCAACTTCTATTTAAGTGAAGCAAACAACTAAACAAAAGAAACTGCTTTTACACCCTCGAACGCCTGCTCATTCCTCGCCTGCTCATTTTTCCCCGCCGGGCTTTGTTCCCCGGCTGTGCCGGGGCGAGCCGGGACAGGCTCTGGCCGAGGGCGTTGGGTGCCGGAGCCCCGGGCAGCGCCGCTGGCTCGGGGGTGATGGGGAGCTCCCTCCTATCCTGGTTGCAGGGTTTATATGAATTTTTTCTATTTGTGGTGTCCAACACTTAAGTTCTGAAAGGGCTGGCACATCCTCGTTGGTCTCACCTGCAGTGCAGGAGAGGGATGGGATTAATTTTGGGCTGTGTTTGGAGCTTCCCTGGATTCCTGTCATCTCACAGCTTTTGGCTTGATCTTACTGAGCTGAACGCATCTGTGATCATATGAGAATCACATTCCTGAAGGCAGGAGCTCAGCGACTGGACCTCTTGTCCTTGATGGGAAAGGGTGGTGTCCCCAGGAGGGGAGTGCTCACTGCCTTCCCAGTTGGACCCACCCTTCTGGAAGGCACCAGTGCTGGTGTAGCTGTACTTTGCCCAGATGAAATGGTTTGGGTGAGATGGGGTTGCGTTGTAGAGCCCTTACAGAGCTGACTGACCACAAGGAGGACAATAAATCCTTTTTCATTTAAAAGAAAAATGACATTTACAAGTTTTTCTCCTTAGAATATCTTAGATGGAACAGGACATTTGGAGGTCTACCAGACTGGTCCACTGGGACCAACCTCTGCTCAGACTTTCAAGGTATTCCCAGTATGGGAAAGTTTTTCTTATTTTTCTGCCCATAAATCCCAGGAGGATAAAGAAGTGGGGCACAGAGTTCTTTTCCTGATGCTCTGGCTATGTATCCTCAGAGCCCGAGATGAGGTCATTACCTTCCCTGTGCTCTTGCTGCTTTGCATCGTGTGGTAATTTTGCATTTATTTGTGAAACTAATGGAAAAAATTCCTTACTTAGGAAGGAGTTGTTTACTGTGGGCATGGTGAGGCACTGGCACAAGTTGCCCAGAGAAGCTGGGGATGCCCCATCCCTATTTCAGACCAGGCTGGATGAAGCTTGGAGCAAGCTGATCCAGTGGAAGGTGGCCCTGCCCACGGCAGGGGGTTGGAACTGGATGTCTTTAAATCACTTCCAACCCAAACCATTGCAGGATTTTATGGTAAGCCCTCCGATTTCCAGGCAAAGTGAGCAAGAGGCAAGGTGGCCTTGTCAAGGTTTCCCTTGAAAAATATGGAGAGGCTGAAGCACCCTTCTTCTCTTTTTTAAGTGCAAATGGATTTGAAGAATGGGTTTAAAAGACAAATGCAGATTGCAATGAGCATCCTCTTTATGTGGATGTTTAAGAAAATGCCCAGCTATGCTGTAATGTGAAGGGGGAAGAGGGAGAGTTTAAATGAATTTGAGTGGAAATAAATTACAAAAATCACACTAACAGCAGTAAAGTTGGTGAAATGACATCCTGGCATAAAAAGCAGAGCAAGACTAATTAAATATTTAATGCTCGTAAGAGACACTGGCAGATCTCAAGGTATCAAGTGTGATAAAGATGTAAGTAGTTGTCATCTGCTTTAGCATCTGATCCAGACAAACCTGTTTGTTCCCTGCTGTTCCACTGCAACCAGCCCTGGTCTGGCCTCAGGAATGTCATGCTGGCCCCTGGGTCACACATGGTCTTAAAGATGTTGCTGTGGGTTGGAGATGGGTGCTTCTAGGATGGCTCTTTCTGGTCCTGTGAGCAAGACACAGGGAATGTCACTGGCTCCCAACACCCAGCTCCTGACATGGGATCTGGGGTTTTTTTGGCAGGGGGGAAAAAAAGAAAACCAAACTTGGGCAAAAATGAATTTATAACAAAAATAAATCCAAATTTGCACCCAAATTATGTGATCTGGGAGCCACATACCAAGGAGTGAAGCTTTTGGGTCATTCCTGTCCCTCTGGCTGTGAATCCCTGTGGGATGTTTCACATGCGGTGTCTGGCTGAGATCCCTCGATTCATTGCATAGCCCCAGGACTTTATCCATGCTTTTGGGATGAAAAAAGAGGAGTTGTGGTGTCTCCAGATGCCAGGATGAGAGGGCCGGAGGCAGCGCAGCCACCCCGGGGCTTGGCAGGGTGGTGTGGCTGGCACCGGGCGTTTTCTTGCAAATGCTGCCATCCCTCACTCCAGGCTATGCACATTTATATCCCACGCTTCCCAGGAGCATCCCAGGGCGAGCAGGGATCACATCACCTCTCCTTATGTGCGAAACCGGAGCGTCGGGCGGAGAAGGCAGGAGGATGAGGCACAGCTCCCCTGGCTGCGCCGCAGCTGCTGAGCTCATTTTTAGCTCATTATTTCTGCTTGGGAGCTGATGAAAGGCAGTTTTCAAAGATGCATTTAATGGGTGAAAATTCATAAAAATGTTTTCCGGGCTCTGTTGTGCCAGTGTAGCGTCCGACCACCAACGCTGTTTGTCACAGCGGTGGCACCGGGGCTCGTGCCAGCATCCTGCATCCTCCCGAGCCCCAGGAGCTCTGAGAGTGAGGGATTTGGGGTGCAGGGCACGGCTGCACTGATGCTGCCAGTACAAAATGTGGGGGGCAGCCATGGGAAAACAGACTTTAAAAAAAAAAGCCAAACAACCTCTCATTTTTTGCAGATTGGAAGCTTGGAAAACTACTACCACTTTCACCACAGCAAGACATTTAAGCGCTCCACGCTGAGCAGCCGGGGACCGCACAACTTCCTCCGCATGGACCCCAAGGTATGGGGTTGGGCACCCCAGCCTCTGCAGGGTGGTGGGATGAGGGTCCCCACCTGTACCTGGAGAAGGCTGTTCTGGGTGAAGCGTGAGCTGGAGCATCTTGAGATGACATGTTACCCTTGAGCCACAGCCCTGCGCACACACGAGTGACTCATTGGACATGGGTACGGAGAGCGGTGGTGAAAAATACGTAAAAGTGACTAAACACTAACATCTGCTTGAAAGCCGGGAGGAAGAAAAGAGGGAAAAGCTTTCCAGGACAGAAAGGCTGTTGCATGCTCAGGGTGTTGATCCAGTTGCCACAACACTTGCTGCCTCAATGGTTGCTATGTGTGAAATCCTTGGCAATAGCTCTACATTGCTTTTTTCCTAGAGCAAGCATCCAAAGGGATTTTTGGAGCAGCTGAATTGACAAAAGTAATTGGAGGGGGGAAGAAGGCAAGGAGGGACCTGGGTGAGCTGGGTTTGGGGTGGTGGGGAAAGGTTGGGGTTCCGCTTTGGCTGTCCTCCTCCCCCAGCTCCCTCTGAGCACTGTGAGATGTGACTTGTGCAGAGGAGGGGAAGGGTTAATGGTGAGGAGGTTTTTTTTTTTGTGGGGGGGGGAATGACATAAAAGCAGTAAAAGCCATTTCGGTGAAGGTACCTGTGCTATAGCTGCTGGTACCTGCAGTGATGCTGGGTCATCCTTGCATGTATTTTACCCATCCCAGAGCTCAGACATCCTTGGGATGCTCTTTCCCAAGACATCTCCAACCCACACGGCACCACATGTCCGGTCCACATCTCTCCAGACATGCACAGCAGCCCTGCCCTCCACAAGCTTTCCGGAGAGATTTGCTGTTAAATATTTGGACAAGGTCTGTAGCACATTTTTGAGGAGGAGGCGTACGCGTGGCTGCGTTGCCAGCGGGGAAACCTCTGCAAGGAGAGCCTGGTGCCCTGGAAGTGTGCTGGGCTTTAATTAAAGCTGTTTGCCCTCAGGGGGGTGCATAGGCATCCCAGCAAACTCTCTGCATTTGAAATACCCCCATTTAAATGAGTCTGGTTATAATGCAAACTAAATCAACTGGCTTTTAGTCATATTAACCTTTACCTTACCTTGCTCTGTGGGCTTCAAGCTGGAACAATTAACTCCTGTTCTCTTAATCCTTCCTTATCAGTTCAAAACCTGTTGGCATGTCTTGTCTCTCCCCCTCTCCCATCTACATTTACAAATCGTTTAAGTGATGCATTTGGATGACACCAGCTTAGAATGCATGCAGGAAGACATCACCTGGAGGCACGAGGACAGGAGCTGGAATAGGGAAGATGGAAACAAATCTTGCAGAAATCCTGCCGAACCAGCCAATCCGGTTGTTTGCAGATGTTGGGTGGTTCATGCCTTCCAGGGGCTATTGTTTCCAGTGCTGTTATTTGTTTGCTGTGGGGGTCGGTGGCATGAGCTGGGCAGGAGGACCACGGCCAAGCTCTTCACCCTCAGGAGAAGTCTTCGAGAGGGGAGACTCCAGGACACACAGGGAATCATGATCCTTGTGTGACCATGCTGCTGCTGAGCTGCCGTGCTGCCCCAAGAGACCCTGCAGCTGGCTGCTCCTTCTGGGGCTGATATGAGCCAAGAGATGTGGCAGGTGATGGAAAGAGAGGAAGGATGTGGCAAATCCAGCAATTTTGGGGACAGTTTGTGGTGGTGGGAGGCAGGGAGGGACAGTGGGATGCACAGGGGGGCCATGCTGTGCCACCCCTCTTAGGGGCTCCACTTGCAGCTCTTATTGCAGTAAACTTTCCTTGCTCACTGGAATGCTCCTGTTGGTCCATGCTATGCTTGAGCCTCCATCCTCTGCTCCAGTCTCTTAATTCTCATCAGGGGTTGCCATGGCCTTTGTCCCTGTGCCTCTGGCCATGCACCACAGCAAAATCAACCCCATTGGAATTACTTGCTGGGATTTATGGCAAACATGTGCTGGCATTATCTTGTTTATCCTGGATCTCCACTTTAACTCCTGCACACCCTCTGTGATAAGTCCGACTATCACTTTTCTAGAGCTGCAAAAGGAATTGCATCCTCACACATGCTGGTTTTTGTGTTTGGTGGAGCCTCCCAGGCTGGCCAGCTCTGGGCCTCAGACACTGAAAAATCTCAAAGTGAGGGGAAACATAAAAAGCTCCTGCTCTGTTTCTAGCAAGGGTGAAGGGTCCAGCTTGGGGCTGCCTGTGCTGCCTCCTCATGGGGTCCTTTGGGGCCACGCAGTCACCTCTTTATTGCTAATTGCTGTCACTACCTAAAGGAGCTCCAGGAGAGCTGGAGAGGGACTTTGGATGAGGGTCTGGAGTGTCAGGGCAAGGGAGAATGGCTTCACACTGACACAGGACAGGGTAAGATGAGATACTAGGAGGAAATTCTTGGCTGCAAAGGTTATGAGGCCCTGGCACATGTTACCCAGAGAAGCTGCTGCTGAAGATGGGGAGGCTGCCCCATCCCTGGAAGTATTCAAGGCCAGGTTGAAGGGGACTTGGAGCAGCCTGGTCTGGTGGAAGCTGTCCCTGGCCATGGCAGAAGATTTGGAATGAGATGAGCTTTAAAGCTCCCCCCAACCCAAACCAGTCTGTGGTTTTGCAATAATTAGGGTTTGCAGGGGTAGAGCAGGGTCCCTGGGTCTCAGGACTGTAACACTTTGGGTCACTTCTTGTAGTAAAAAGCCTTTCTTTTCCTTTATTTTTTACATTCCAAGAAGCTTTTCCCCCACCCTGGATCAGCAATGGAAGTTGATCTGAGTTTCATGAGCTGCAGGAGCTGTTGCAGGAATGCCCCAGGTTCCTTCCTGCTTGCCCATTTTCCCATGCCAGCCACATTGATTTATCAACTCTTCCTTGAAATCAATGTCCTTAAAACTGCTGATTTCTCTGTGTCCACACACGACATCTCCATTGACTCCTGGCTGGCAGCACCGGGGTCCATCAGGAGCCTGTTTGAGATGAAGACATCCCCATGAGGCAACTCCTGGCAAGACCCCCCAAAATCCCACACCTTACCATTATTCCTGTATCCTGCAAAGCAGCAGGGAAAGGTGGTAGCTGTGGCTTGAGCAGTGAGACTCATGGAAATGCTGCCAGGGAGTGGTGCTTTAAGGAAAAAAGCCTGTTATTTGGGCCATAACCTCTATTTATTGTATTTTTATTTTTTTTTAACTAGACCATGAAGTTATATTTTTGCTTCTAGTGTTTAAATCCATCACTGTGTAAGCAAAGCGGTGTGCTCTCGGCAGCCAAGGCAGCGTGGAAAATCATTTTTCTATGAAATACATTTTTTTTCCCCCCTTTCAACAGTGTTTTTTTCTTTATAATATATATGTGTTTAAAACCCAAGCTCTAGGCTGGAAGCTGTCGGGTTTCTGACATCCACCTCCAACCAAGGCACAAAGCAATAAACTGTGCAAGAGCTCAGCTCAGCTGACAGTTTTACATAAATGAGCTCAACAAAAGTTGTGCTTTGTATTTTTATTCCTCTTGTTACAAAATCTTAGTCACAACAGTAGAGACATCCCCATGAGCAGCTCCCAAAAGACCCAGAGCCATCAGGAAGAATGTGTCCAGCAAGGAGGGATGTGCCACACAGCCCTCACAGTTCATTGGCTGGTGCCTCCTTTCTCCCCCAGCATGAACATCTGTAAAAATTTGGTCTGTAAATTACTTTTATAACCTTTTTTCACTAAACTTGTGTTTCACCTCTATGCTGAAGGCAGGAAAGCCCTTTCTGTGACAATAAAAGGTCTGGGGGGGGTGGTTAATGCTTGATAGGGATGGGATGTGACTGCTTCCAAAGCAGCACCTTAGGCAGCTCCTGCCACAGCACTGTGGGCAAACACCAGCATTTCCCAATCATGGCCTTTTCCAGATCATTTCCCGTTTGATCTCTCTGCGTGTCATGCCCCGCTGGAAAGCAAACAAATGTCAGAGTGGTCAGCTCCAAGGCCACCTCACACGTAGCCACTGCCAAAAATACTTGTGTGGAGCTGGCCACGTCCCCTGAGATCTGCCACGGCCGTTTGTGGCCGTCACATATTTTTGGGAAATGTGTGTTGTGCTTGGGTAAAGCCGCCAGTTTTTATTTTATCAGGAGGAAGGAGCTCGAAGGATGAGCAGCCCCAGAGCCAGGTGGAACAGCGTCAGGGCTGCGCTGCTGCCTCCCAGCCAGCAGGAAGGATCAGCCCAAAAACTAAGCCAAGCACCTGAGTCTTCTCCAAAACTTTGACTAAACTCTGAAATATGTGGTCTGTCTCCAGCGGGACTCCAGCGCGTGCTTCTGTGCTTGGCTAAGCCGGGGGTTCAGGCACGCGCTCGGAGGCGACGCTATTTGTGCTCCAGGGTTTTGCTGCACCGGCAGAGGAATCCGGTCTGGCTTAGACAGCACAATGAGCTGAGCTCACCCTGTCTGTCTGTCCATCCATCCTGTCTCCTTCCAAATGGAGCTGCTGTCTCCACAGCAGCTCTGTCCACGGAGATGGGGGTTTGCCAGAGCACGGGGTGATGCTGGGATGGGCTCAGGCTGAGGCTGGCATTGCTTCTGCATCCCACATCCCATTTCAGTGGGCAGTGCCAGGCTCAGTGCCCATGGGTGATGCTGACCCAGGTCTCTGCTTTCAGGTGGACTGGCTGCAGCAGCAGGAGGTGAAGAGGAGGGTGAAGAGGCAGGTCCGAGGGGAGCCACACATCCTGCCCTTCAATGACCCAGTGTGGCCCAACATGTGGTACCTGGTGGGTGTCTCCCTGTCACTGCTTTATGGGGGGGTCATTTATTTCTAAGCAAATGCATCATCAATCTTTGTTCAGCCCAGCCAGTAATGAAATAATAGCATCAAATGTGCTTGGCAGCAGGATTTTAAAATAGTGAATTAATACACCTGAGAGTCTGGTTTGAAGTGTTTCACCCCTGTTAGCAGCCCCTCATCATGGTCTGCACAGCAAAGGCTTGGGAGCAGCACCACTGTATTTTACCCATCCCAGAGCTGCAGCCATTTATTCGTAATATAATTTTTCTCCTGCCTGCTTCATCGATCTGTATTTGACAGGGAAATTCATTGAAAATTAAGGGTGGAAAGGAAGTGAGCACTTCAAAACCCAAGAGCCCATAGTACTTGAAATGGAAGAGGAAAAGAATAATAGGGAGATAGCATTGCCTGGATTAACTGCTGCTGGATGGGTTTGATCTGTAGAGTCAAGTTATAACAAATCTGCAAGTTATATGGCAGGGGGTGGGCTGTAAATATATTTTCTGGTTGATTAAATGGGCTCCCAGCCTGGCTGTTTGCTTAGATGGGCTGGAATGGGGTTGCAGCCCTTTTGCAGCTGTGTTTGTCCCCGTAGCACTGCGGTGATAAAAACAGTCGGTGCAGGTCGGAGATGAACATCCTGGCAGCCTGGCAGAGGGGCTACACAGGCAAGAATGTGGTGGTCACCATCCTCGATGACGGCATAGAGAGGAACCACCCCGACCTCCTGCAAAACTATGTGAGCTGGGGGATGGATGGGATGGACTGGGGCTGATCCTCACCATGAACTGATTTATGGAGAATTTCAGTGTGTAAACACAGCTGAAGTCTGTGCATTGGCATATGTAGAGGAAAAGGTTTGTTTTTTTAAAAAAAAAAAAAAGCTTGAGATTTTTTTTTTTTAAGAAGGAAATGAGGTTTTTAGATAAGGAGGTTTGGGGGAAACTCCCTTTGCAGCTGCCTGGGAAGCAGCCTCCTCCCTCTGCTCACCAGGGCAGAGCCAAAAACCTGCATGAACCCTAGCTCAAACCCCACATGGCCACAGGGGGAGGGAGGGGGGTGCTGAACCCTGCAGGATTTGGGGTTCAGAGGAGCAGTTCCTGAGGTAGCAGGATATTTGCCCTGGGAACCATGCAGGACTGCAGCCTAAAACTATTTATTCTGAGCAAACAGTAAGAAACTAAGAGTAAAATACCATTTTCTGCCCTGCTTGCCTACACTGGCCATCACTGCAGCTACTGGCCACCACAACCACTTAATATGTTGAATCTAATGATGAATCTAATATTTTCAGGACCCTCTTGCAAGCTATGATGTTAATGGGAATGACCACGACCCAACTCCACGCTACGATGCCAGCAATGAGAACAAGTATGTGATGCTAATTGTAATGGAGCAAGGAGTCTGGGGGTGTCCCTGAGGCTGGCTGTCCCCTCTGGGGTGTCTTCCAGGTCCCTTTCCCCATTCCCAGTGCTGTGGAGGAGGCTGTGTTAAGGGCTTTGCACAGTGTCCTTGTGTTTAATGCAAATTCAGCTGGTGCCAACCACATTAATTAACGAATCCTCCAGTCACCCAGTACAGCACCAGGGGGTTCCTTGCCCTGGCTGGGGATTGAACCACATGAGTCAGGATGGGTGACTGAGATAGCAAAGCCTGGATGCATTTTTGGGGCTTCAGTTAAAGAGGGATGGTTACAGGTGGAAAGGAAACAGGAATGCCAACAGCAGCCTGCATAGAGGTGCAAGATGCAAAGAGGAAGTTGCATTTAGGTGCAAGATGCAAAGAGGAAGTTGCATTTAGGTGCAAAATGCAAAGAGGAAGTTGCATCAAGGTGTAAAATGCAAACAGCAGATTGGATTTAGGTGCAAAATACAAACAGCAAATTGCTTTCAGCATTCATTTCCTCCACCCGCTTGGTGGGGGTTTTGGGCAAGGGCAGTTTCTTCCTCTGCTCCAGCCCTGGGGTGGGTTTTGGGTGCTGGGTGGGGTGTGGCTGGAGGGATCCTTTGCCATGGCCATCAGCTGATGGGGGGTTTCTTCTTGCAGGCACGGCACTCGCTGCGCAGGGGAGGTGGCGGCGGCGGCGAACAACTCCTACTGCATCGTGGGCATCGCCTACAACGCCCGCATCGGAGGTGAGGCTGGCACCTCTGTGGCTCCCCTGCCCCTCACCATCCCCATGAGGGACTGTGACCACCCTGGTCACACCAACAGGCTCCTGGGGGAGAGGTGGGATGCTGCTCCCCCAGGAGAGAGTCTCCTCCTTGGTGCCTTGGCTGCAGGGAGCCCCAGGGGTGTTGGAGAGGATGGGTGAGATGGCATGCAGGGGACTCTGGCTCCATGTATTTAGGGTGGAAACTTTCTGCTTGGGCTGCATCCTTGCCATGAGGGTGCATGTGGATTGAGGAGGTGATGTTTTCACACCAAAAGTCCATAGCTGCTCTTGAGGGGGTCTGTCCTTGGGGTGGCTGTGTCTGCTGTGGTCAGTGGTGCTGGCTGAGGGTCAGAGCACTCGTTTGTGGGGTCAAAGGGTGCTGAGGAGCTGCTCAAAGCAGGGGGCCTAGGGAGAACCCCAAAAATACCCACAGGGAAAAAACTCCAAGAAAATGCGAGGCCAGAGATGCATCTACGGGGGATCTTCTGTGCAGGCCCTCAAATAACACAATGTGTGGAAAGCAAATGAATCCCTATCACCAAATTGGACCCTAGTGTTAATTAACATTGCTGAGTTCATTTGCATTTGCCCAGCTGGTTTGAGCTGAGGCAGTTCTGGCCAACACAGGCAACCCTGGGGAAATGAGGGTTGTAGTGGGGGTGGGAGTGTGGTGTCCCCTGGCTGGTGGAAGTGTGTAGAGGACAAATGCCTGGAGCTGGGCTCTTTCAGCCTTCAGCCCCATCCCTGGCAGGATTGGAACAGGAGAGGGGCTTTTCCTGCAGCCCCTCCCTACCACCCAAGTGCAGGGAGAAGTGACCATCAGTAGCATGGACCCAAGTGCCCACAGGTGAATTTGGAGTTTAATTCCTTCTTTTGGCTTATTCATCCTGGCTATGCAGGGAACAGCTTTTGTTAGGGTTGTGTCTGAGTAGTGTCCACAGGGATCTTCTTGCTCTTGGCCTAGTATCTCCCATGGTTGCCTGTGCTGGGAAAATCCCCAGGGGGAAGAAATAAATAGCCCCAGGGAGGGTGAAGAGTGGACTGGCAGGGCTGTAAGGGCTACGGCACCTCATCCCATCCCATCTCCTACATGTGTGATGGCTTCTTGCTTCTTAGAGGCTTCTTGCCTCTAAAAGCCCATCTCCAAGCACACAGCAAGCAGCAGCAGAGCAAGACAAAGCTGATGGTGGGATTTGTTGGATCCTGCAGGATCAGGCCATTCCCTTCATGCTCCTTTCCCTACAGCAGCTGTGGAGACGAGCGTTCCTTGTTGACTTTATGACGACCTCTGGGTCTCATTTTAATTTGCTCCCTTTAACGAGTGCCTTGCCTCAGGGGTGTGCTGGGGAGGTGTTGAGTGAGACAAGGCACCTGGCAGAGGGCTGGGGGCCGGGGGCTTCCCACAACGTGAGCAGGCAAAGGGGAAAAATAGAGTCTGAGCCGTATCAAGTTTGGGATCATGGAGGAAAATACGCTATAGCTGCAGCGAGAGTGATTTTAGATGGATTACACAAATAAAGCAGCGATTAATGAGCACAACTTGTTGGGGAAGCCTATTTGTCACACTGGGAGAGCTCCCATCTAATTTTACTGGCTGCTCTTCAGTGCTCTTGCATTGCTTTTCATATGCCCTGGGCAAAACACATCACTGCTCAAGGAAAGGGCTCCTGCCATTCCTCCTCCTCTTTCTTCTCCTCGAACGCTCGCTTTGGAGGTTGGTGTTGCTCCCTGTGTGACACAAAGCTCATTTATTTTGCAGCACCCACCCCTGCTCCCTCCTGCTCCCCATTATTTGACCAGTTCCTCATTGTGGGTGGCTGTCTCTGGGCAGGCTTTGGGTTGACTTTAGGCAGATTTTGGGCTTGCTGATGAAAAAAGCCACATAAAGCAAGCACAAACCCCATCCCTCGTCTGGTTTTCCTTGCCGTGTGCAGCTCAGACACTGGCCTTGGCTCCTCGCCCCTTCTCCTTGTGTTTTCTTGTTGACAAAGAGGAATTTTTTGGGAACAGCGCTGCTCCCTGATTTTACATTTCTAAGCTTGGTTTTGGCTGGTCAGGGACAGCGTCAGAAGGAGATATTTGAGTTGACTTGTGTCCAGAGCGCAGCTGCAGCTGGAATGACATCTGCCTGCATTTGTTTGCTTTAAGACAAAATACATGTGGAAGGGAAAATGCGTTTTTATAAACCAGACTGTCCCTGGCTGACAAAATACGATGCTGAAATTTCCAGCATCGCTTTTCCTGCAAGGGCTGTTTCTGGGCAGCCAGTTGGGGTGCCTGGCACCCTCTACCCACTGTGTGGAGAGGAAATCCAGCAGGGAAAGGGTGATGGAGAGCAGCAGAAGTTGTGCTGTTGTGTTGCAGCAGTTGGAGGCTGGGGGTGTGCAGCAATCCCACCATGGCTGGTGGGCTCTGCCTGTGAGCATCCTGGCTGGTACCTGCTGGCATTCCCAGCTGGAAGTGAAAGTTATCCTGGGTGGCATTGTTGTCCCACCATGTGTTGGGGTCCTGGCTCTGACTTTGGTCATACAAACCACAGCCTGGGTTTTTTCCTAGGGCTTCTCCCTCTCCAGGGAACCACTGGCATCAATTGGGCAGTGATGGGGTTTGGGGACAGTCACAGTCATCCATCCCCACTTGAGGGGGGAGGCTTTATCCCACCAGTGTGCCTGAAGCTGGGGGGGCATGAGTGTTCAGGAAACACCAAAATCTTCCAGGTGGAGAAATATGCTAGCTAAGGAATCAAAAGGGGAGGAAAAACTATTTTAGTGGGGGGATTTTGTCTCTGGGGAGTGCAGTACAACTACCACCACCCATTCCCCGCCAGTGGAGGGGAAGTGAGTTTTAACACCCCCTTCTCCATCACTTTCCATGAAGCCAGCAACACAGAAAACTTCCCCCGTAGCTCCCCAGCATCCTGCTGCCAGGCTCGTTGGCATGCGGGGCCATGGGTTGAAGCTATTCCAGGCGCGCCTGAGCCATGTGGTTTCCGCCGCCGTTAACAAAGCCCTTTGATTGCAATCCTCACACTGTCATCCACGCCATGAAGCCCTAATGTCTGATGTTTTTGTGCTTTTAGGCATTCGTATGTTAGATGGAGATGTAACAGATGTTGTTGAAGCGAAGTCGCTTGGCATCAGACCCGATTACATTGACATTTACAGCGCGAGCTGGGGGCCAGATGATGATGGGAAGACAGTTGATGGACCTGGTCTATTGGCCAAACAGGCTTTTGAGCAAGGCATTAAAAAGGTGTGGATCCCACAGCGCCCAGACGCGCTCGCCCTCCTCCTCCTGTCCCGTGGGAAGGGCCACGGCCGGCCCGGGGTCTGGCGCGGGGTTGGGCAGCTCAGCCCCCTGAGGCACTGCCAGCACTAGGGCTGGGGCGGGGGGGAGCCAATCATCTCTAATTTTTCCTTGTTTTCCCCGGCGCCCCTAAGAGCTCCGGTGGATTTGGCGGCTGAGGGTGGTGATGGCGGGAGGTGCCCGGTGATGGTGGGACCCCTCAGCACGGCTGGCACAGCCCCAGCAGAGCGGGGAGGCCCCAGGTTGTGTTGTGAAGCTCTGCCGGGATGAGAAACACAAAGCAGTTCTTGGGGGATGTAACTTTGCACCCCAAAATATCCCCCCTGGATGCTGGTGTGGATGGAAACAGCAGTATCCCAAACCCCAGCGTGTCCAACCCTCTCCTCCACGCTCCTTGGGCTCCTGGTATCCTCTCCCAGGGGCCTCTGTCACGTTAAGCATTCCCTTGGTTTTCCACCCAGAAAAAGTGGCTGTGTCATGGCTGGGAAGGGACATGGGTGTTGCCACAGGATCTGACAATGGATTGTTGTCCTTGAGATTCTCCAGTAAGAAAGTTCAGCCAACATCACATATGGTTGACAGCTGTCAATCACTGCTGGGGATGCTCTGGCCTTCCTGTGGCCCTTCCCTTTTTGGATACTTTTAAAAAATGCCCAACATTGGCTAAAAGCTTTGGGAAACAGCCCTCTCTGGCAGCTCGGTGGGTGCCATGGGTAAGTGTCGCAGTGGCTCAGGGCTCCACAGTGGCTGTTCCCTGGGTGCTCCAGAGAATCTGGGGTTGGGGTTTCATTGCCAGCAGCCCCAGGCTGGGCTGTGAAGCCCCCACTTCAACCTCTGCCACCACTCCTTCCTCTGCTGCCTCTTCCCGCAGCGTGCCGGGAGTTGGGGTGGCCTCTTATCTAAAAATAGGGTGGAGCGTTTTTCCCACTGTTTACTTGATTTCCTGCTGGGGCGGTGAGCCTGCCGAGGAATCCATTGAAGTGCCGGGGAGTTCACGCCGTGTAAATACGGGGGAACAAGCTGCTTTTTAGACCTTATTTTTCCATGCAGGAGCAAACGGGCAGCAGCACTTTCATAGCACAGCCCCACTGTCTTAGGATGTTGTTTTTGCCTCTCAGGGGGCACCCCAGTCTCCCCACTGCCACTCCGTGTTTGCAGCACCCACTATCCCACATGCACAGCTCGTAATTGCCAACTCCATCTCCTTAAATAACGAGGAAAGCTGCAAGCAGATAGTTAACTGCCACCTTTAGCCCGAGCAAACAGCTGTAACCGAGTTATAAATCCTTAAAATTGAGTTTTTAATGGAAACATTAAAATAACCTTTATCTATTAGCGATAGGACTGCGCTGGGGTAATTTATCATCTTGTTTCTTGTTCCTCCAGCCACACTTTATTAGTTCCCTAGCTAACGAGGGGATATTTATCCTGGTCATTCGTGGAGTGCTGTTGGGCAGACACCCAGGCCCCGCAGTGCTGCGGAAGCAGGAGATGCTGTGCATCCCACAGACAGCCCATGAGCTGCTGGGGTGAGCTGGATCAGCCCCACCTTGGCCAGGGAGGGGTTCCCTGCTTTAAATGATGCCCAGATTCAGGTTTTATAGCAGCCAGGAGCCCCTCACTGGCATTGCATTGGCTTAGGAGGATGACAAGTTAAGAAACTGGATGTTTGGGGTCTGCTTACAGAAATCTTGAGTGTGCCTTGTTTGAGTGCAAAGGGAAAGAATGGATTTTTCCAACCCGAGGGAGCTGCAATATGTGGTGAGCTCTTGCTCTGCCAGGAATGCTGTCAGGTGTTAGCTGTGCATTGTTGCAGTGTCATTCATGTGCCTGTTCATGTCCTCATGTGACCGTACTGTCTCCAAACCCACCTTCCCCCAGTGCAGCCCTGCCTGGGCATCGCAGGGACGTGGGTTTGGAGCAGGTCTGAGCCTTTCTTGGTCCTGTGGGTGCGACACTCAGGGCGAGGGATGAAAGGGAGGTCTGGGCTCCCAATCATCTGATCCCAATCAAAATCGTTGCTACATCTCCAGATGCTTGGCCAATTGTGTCTGGTTTTATTCCTCTGACTAGTGATTTGGGAAGGTTTGGGTTGCATGCAGTGGGACCCATCCTTGGAGGTATTTTGACTTTGGTGTGGGGAGCTGGATGGTCACTGTCTGTGCCAAGTGTGTGGGCTGGGATGCTGCCTCCTTGGAGATCCAGGAAACCCTGGAAAGTGGGATGGGAGATGCCAGCAGCAGGCTTGGTGGGCTGGCAAGCTGGGTCGAGCTCTCGGTGATGTGGAGCAGGGCAGTAATTCCCTTGGCAATTGCACTTTTTCTTGCAGAGCTCCAGACAGCTCTATTAATCTTTGCTAGGGAAATACCCACCCAGTTTGGCTGGGAGGCAGCCCAGATAATGAAAACTTTCATAAAGTAAGGAAAGAGGCTGACTTAGACTGTGTATCCAGAGGCAGGGTCAGCTCAGAGAGCCTCTGCCCCAGGAGGGGGGCGAGACAGGTAATAAACCATCCCGCTCCCCCTGGCGCCTAAAGCCCACAATAAATCCTGGTGAATTCCTCCAGAGCAAAGCTGCTTTATTATTATTATTATTATTATTGTTATTATTATTTTTTGTGGAGGAAGCTGCTACAGAGCAGTGGGAGGGATGTAAACACCAGATCTGCCCAGGCGAGTGCCAAAATCTCTCCGTGGCAGGAGCAGCCGCGGGGAGGATGGGGCTGCTCCGCTGCTTCCATCGCCTGCCAAGCCCGGCAGCTCTCCATCCTCCCCGGAGAACCCTGCCTTACGGGGCAGGGAAGAAAACCAGCCACTTCATTTCCTGCCCCTAACCCTTCTGGATCACCAAAAATCCTCCTGTTTGGGATGTTGTCGGCACCTTGCTTGTGACCCCCCCGCAGGGCTGGGTTATTCCTGGGTGTCCCGGCAGTGGGTTGGATGCAGGGATGAATGGGGCTCATTCCCATGGTATTGGCTTCCTTAGGGGCTCTTCGTTGGCACCATGGTTGCTGCTGCCAGGTGGGATTTTCCCCTGGATCCAGGGAGGTCTGAGCAGCAGGCACACCCCTCCCACTCCCCAACTTCCAGTGGGGTCCCAGAGCTGTACCCAGTGAGGATGGCCCCATCAGATGTTCCAGCCAAGTGATGGGGAGGGGAGAAAAGGATGGGATTTAAAAGACAAGCAAAAGAAACCTAAAGGATAGACTGGGAGAAGGCTTCTGGTGGTTTGGGTGGTTCATGAGGGGCTTTGTGGGCTTGAGAGATTTGGGGTTTGGGGGTTCCCTGCCAGTTCTTCCTGCAGGGCCATCCCTAAAAGCACCATGCTGTGTGTTAGTGCCTGGTCCAGGGACTCTGAGTACCCAAGATGTTTTCTCCCATGGAAAATGCTAAAATCCTGTTGCTGGAGGCTCTCCCATACTTTTGGGGGAATCACTGCCTGTAAACTGGGACTGACTGAGCCGAGGGACACATGTGGGGACTGATGCAGGGGGCTGAGTGCTGGGCAGGGTGGGACCCATCCTTCCACCCTAACCAAACACCCAAAAATCAGACTTACCCCCTCCTCCCCATGCCAAGATAGCCTCTCATCCTGGGCAAACACCTCCTCTAACCCTCCACACTCTCTGTGCCCGCAGGGTCGCAGGGGACTGGGGTCCATTTTCGTCTGGGCATCGGGGAACGGCGGCAGAGAGGGCGATTACTGCTCCTGTGATGGCTACACCAACAGCATCTACACCATCTCCATCAGCAGCACCACCGAGAACGGCTACAAGCCCTGGTACCTGGAGGAGTGTGCCTCCACCCTCGCCACCACCTACAGCAGCGGGGCGTTCTATGAGCGGAAAATTGTGAGTTTTACCCCAACATCGAGTGGGGCAGCACCTCCTGGGTGTTTTCTGTACAGCTGGGCTGTGGGTGATGGCTTAGTTGGAAGAGCTAGGCTTTGTCCTTAGCTCTGCAGAGGGTTTTGCTCTGGTTTTTGCTCAGGGATGTCGTGTTTTCCATGGTAAATGGGTGAAAGGGCTGGAGGTTTGCAAAAATACCCACGTAAATATTTACCTGTTCCCCAAAGTACTTGCTCACTGTATCTTGTTTTGTTTGGTTTTTTTTATAAAAGTGAATTTTGAGGATTTTTAGCCTGAGAGAGAGAAAAGGTTGAGGATAAAGACATTTAACAGGGGTGTGGCAGCCCCAAACTGGGAGCTGAGACTTTCTGGAGCCAAGGAACTCCCTGAAAATGCTTGCACATGTGGATCAGTGCAGTTTTCCCTGTCACCCAGGCTGTATTTGCCCTGTCCCAACAGCTGCAGTGGCCTGGTTACACCATGGCTGATTGTTACTGACACCTGTGCATCATCTGAACCTTGGGAAGTAAAGCATCTCCCACCAACACAGCACCTTACCCAGCCTGGGGAGGGAGTTTTCCACCCAAGTGAGGCTTTCTGACCAAAAATTGTGGGGTTTTTTTGTTTGTTTGTTTGTTTTTCTCTTTAACAAGTAAATATTTTTTTTTTTGTATTGAGGAGTAATTTCTTTGACCCCCAAAAGATGAATTTCCAGCCAGAAAACAAAATGCAAGTGGCATTTTCATGGCATTGCAGAAGTGTTTGCATGGCTGAGGCCAGCCCCATTCCAGTGCTACTGGAGCACTGTTGGGCAAAAACCCAAACCAGCTTCCAATCCAGAAATCACCAGATTAACTCAAAACTTATGAGCCTTTTAAAATGAGAAAAAGCATTTTTGGCCTTCCATCTCCTCCCCAAGTTTCTGGTACCCAAACATTGTGCTCTGTCTTCAAACAAAAAAGCTGGAAATGGCACTTTTTCCCCCTATACAAATGGAAATTCTTGTCCAAGACCAGGAGCTAGAGGCTTTAAAGAAAGTGTTTAATATGTCCCAACTCAGTATGCATCCCTTGATGTGTACCCACACCACTCCATCCACCTTTTCCTCCAGCTGATCCACAGCCAAATGGATTTTTTTTCCCTTTCAAATAGTTTTTGCACCTTTGAGAAAAGGTGTACAAAGTAGAGGGGCGTTTTCTCATGCACCAAATGTATCTGCATCCCATTTTTGGGGCTCTGTGCCCCCCGATGGCATTGGAATCTTGTCAGGGCTTGGGTACCAACAGGCTCATCTCCTCTCTGGCAGCATCCCAAGCAAATCTGGGGTGCAAATGGGGTAGGGCCCATGCTGGGAGCACTCTGGGTGCTGCAGCTCCTCTCTCCACAGGTCACCACTGATCTCCGGCACCGCTGCACCGACGGCCACACCGGCACCTCCGTGTCCGCCCCGATGGTCGCAGGCATCATCGCCTTGGCTTTGGAGGCAAAGTAAGTGTAACCTCATCAGGAGAAATGTTCCCACATTTAGCACCTGGTGAGCAAAACCTGAAAGAAACAAGGTGGTTTTGTTTCCTCTGGAGTGACCAAAATGACACAAAGTTATTTTAAATCGCTCCTTTCTGGCAGTGTTGTTGTTTTGTATGTGTCTTCCCACAGGTGTTTTATTGATCTAATTCTTCACTTGTTGCCATCTGTTGAAAAGTTTGGGGCTGGTGACATCAGTCAGGCTTTTCAGTAGGTGCATTGAAAGCACTGACAGCCAGCTCCAATGGGAGTTTTATAAATACTTCCTGGGAAAAAAAAAAAAGTCAGAAAACATCACAGACATTGGGAAATGTCAGCAGAAGTGATGGTTTTCAGCAAGTGTTGCATTTCTGGGGGAAAAGGACTACTTTTTCACAATGTCAAAAACTCACAGAACTTTTCAGCGACACACACACCCCTGGTTCAAACGAGTTGCTCTTTTCCTCTTGTCCCCATCCCAGTCCTGGTTCCATCATGGTCCCTCAGCCCAGGAACAGCCCTTGGGCATCCCTGTGTTGCTTCATGGAGTGGCTTCTCATGAGCTTATTATTATTTTTATGGAGTGGAAATAAAATGAAGGCTGGGAATAAGAATAAGCCTCAGGGCAGCACTGCACTCTCATCCAGGGATGGTGATTGTGGCTCCGTTCCTCCTCCACTGGTTTAATCCCAACACCCAGGTCGGGTGAGAGCATTTCCGGAGACGCCATTTTCATTATAAATATATTAAAAGCTTTAGATGTAATTTTTGAATTGTTTAGCTGAGGCATAAACCGCAACATTAACTACCAGAGCTTGGTGCTCAGGCATTCCATTATGGCAAGCGAGAATAAATTGAATTTCTTTCTTTAAATGTTGCTCAAGAGCAATATAAATCCCTGCTCGAGATGCTGAGCAACGGACTGTAAGTAAAGCAGGGAAAATTCTCCAGCAATATCCCTGAGCTGGGGTCTTGAGGGGGCTCAGAAGCACAGAGCACTCAGTGTCCAGCACTCTGAACACACAAACCCAGTCTGGGGAGGTCGACACAATTTGGGTTTAATTTTTCTGTTTAATGAACAACCAAGGTTTTATTTTCAGCAATTTTTTGCTGTTATTCCTACAAAGGGAATGTTTGCTCAGCATTGTGGATCAGCAAGCTGCCGAGCCCACTATCCTGCCTCAGGATGTGCTTTGCTCTCTGTCTCCTACAAAAAAATGAGGAATACCTTCCTGATTTGCTTCATTTCTACCCTGGAGCCTGAGAGCTAAATGGCCTTATCCAGGAGCAAATCCTACAATTCCTATGAGCATGTGGCATCCTTTCCTGGGGCACAACACCCTGCTGGGATACCTTAAGTGCTGGCAGGGTGTCAGCATTTAAATCATCAATTTCTGCTTTTTTTTAGGCAGGAAAGAGGGGTGGTTGGTGTGGTTTTTGTTTGTTTTTTTTTTCCTGTGGGGTACCTGCTGCTGCTGGGAGGACAGGGAACAGCAGAGCCACCCCATGAGCCACGTGTCATTGCAGCCCCCTGCTCACCTGGAGGGATGTCCAGCATCTGCTGGTCAAAACCTCGCGGCCGGGGCACCTGCGAGCGCCCGACTGGAAAACCAATGGAGCGGGGCACAAAGGTGAGAGGCCGTGGGGATGGCAGGGCAAGAACAGCCAAACAAGGGAAAATAAAGGTCTCCAGAGCTTCACTTATGGGGACAATACACCATGGGTGGCCACTGTCAGGTTCACTGAGGGCTCCTACCTTCAGGCTGTTAAGTGGAGGGAGGAGAGGGCAGTAATTCATGGGGTGAGATGCTTGGAACTCTTACTTGGTGGGGATTTGGAAAACTTGTTTGCTGGAGACTCTCTTTTGAGCTTCAGAATTTCTTGATACTTTCCTTGGACTGCTCCCAGCAATGGGTTTTCAGGGTGCCAGTGTGGATTTGGGGTGTAACTTGGCCAGGGTGGTGAGCTCCATGTGATGAAACTCTTCATATCCCAACGGGGTCAACTCCACACCTTCCCTGATTGTTGGAGGATGCTCCACCAAGCACTGAGGAGGAGCTCCTGATCCCTGCTGGGAAAGCTGAGGGTTTCTGAGTCTTCTCTCTTTCCAGTTAGCCATCTATATGGCTTTGGGCTGGTGGATGCTGATGCTATTGTGGTGGAAGCCAAGAAGTGGAAGATGGTTCCTCCCCAGCACATCTGTGTGGGAAGTCTGGACAGGGTGCCCAAGTGAGTGTTGTGGGGTCTGTGTCTATGGCTTGGTGAAGTGCAGGTCCCATTAGGGCTCTCCAGGGCCAGCTTTGAGAGTGGGTGATTTTTTTCCCCTTTTGCAAGATTTCGCTTCCCAGACAAGTGATTAATGGGGAGCTTTTGAGGGCTGACAGTGAGAGACCAAATCCACCTTGCCTGCTGGATCCTACGTGAGCAGTGATGTGTTGGTGTCTCCACCCTTACACTGAACACATTGTCTTGATGGAAGACACCAAAAACTGGTGATTTTTTTGCAAAGTTTACCAAATTTCCAGTGTCTTGGTTCTCTTTGTATTTGGCTTCAGGTTCAATCCAGCTCAGATGCACATCTCACCCTTAGTAGGTCAATCCCTCCTAGGTGAAGAGTGGAATCACTGACCAAGTGGACACTCATTTACCAACTCCTGGCTGTAGAGCAAGAGAGTTGTTAATCAGCAAAGTCTTTTAGAGACTTGCATATGCAAAACAGGAATGAGTGCAGAGCCAAGTGTGTTCATGAAGCTATTTATCTGATACAGACACTAATTACAGCCCAAAGAGGAGCGCTGCACTCGTAATTATAATAAAGCAGCGCCCTTGCAGCCCATAAGGCATAGATCTTCGAAGCACTTCAAACTCATCTTGTTACCATCCAGCAATTCAGCAAATTCCCCTGCTAGGACACTGGGAATTGCAGTGGCAGATAAGATAATTTTTGCTGTGAAGCAGCAGGTTCAGATCTAACAGGGTGTCCACGCCTGGGAGCCCAGGGCACTCTGTCCCCATCCTGACGCCGTGCCCTGTCCCTGGCAGGTACATCCGAGCTGACCACATGCTGCGTGCCAGCACCCTGAGCAGCGCCTGCGCCGAGCAGCGGGACCAGCACGTGCTGTACCTGGAGCACGTCGTGGTGCGGCTCAGCATTGCCCACCCACGCCGGGGGGACCTCCAGATCAGCCTCATCTCCCCCGCCGGGACACGGTCACAGCTCCTCGCCAGGAGGTGAGAGCAGCCAGAGCCAGGGCGCGTCTGGGCTGGGCAGCATCCTCCTTTAGGGGGTTGCTGTAAGTTTCCTTGGGTTTTAGGGGGAAGTGGGAGGCATGTGCAGGTTTCAGCTGCCAGAGAGCTTGGTGCAAGGGAGCGTGCATGCAAGGATCCCTAAAATCCTCAGTTGGCTGTCTACCTTTTCTGATAAAATACGACATTCAAAGTCACATTTCTTAGTGCATGACATTACCGTTGCAGGGTGTTTGACCACTCCAATGAAGGCTTCAAGGGCTGGGAGTTCATGACTGTCCACTGCTGGGGGGAGCGGGCGGCGGGGGAGTGGACCCTGGAGATCCACGACACACCATCCCAAGTGCGCAACCCCGCTGTGCAAGGTAAGGATCCCCCAGGGCCCACCAGTCTCTCACTCCCAAGACCCTTTGTAGGCTGCTTCGCTTGGCTATAAATTTATATAAATTGTATAAATTATATAAATTTATATAAATTATATAAATTATAAATTTGGATTTAACGGACTCCAACAAAATCTGTATTGCCCAGATTTTCAAAAATGGGAATGGAATGTCAGCTCTGAATGCAGGAGGCTGCAGGTCTGGCTGAGCTGGAAGTTGGTTTTCTTGCAGCAGCAACAGTAAACTGGCTGCACCCAAGAGCCAGGTTTCCAAAATTAAACTGTAATGAGTCAAAATGAGGAAACCCAAGAGCTGTAATTGTTGTTTGTTTGTTTTGCTTCACTGCTGGGACATCTGGCATGTGGGCTGGTTGTGCAACGACGCAAAGGGACGATGCCCCTCGGGCTGCAGACGGATGGACATCCTCCCTAGACTGCCACCATGCTGGTGGGGGGTGGCCAGGCTCAGCCTGACCCCCTGCATGTCCCAAACTCTGCTGTGTCCCCTCCTCCCCAGCTTGGCTCCCTGACCCCCTCCCAGCACAGGAGCCGTGTGGGCAGGATCCGGCCCCGCCGGGAAGCGGCAGCCGCCTCGCTGGCTGGGGGCAGCGGGATGTGAAGCATCCTGCCTGGGGCTGGCGTGTGTTGTGGGGGTGTTAAATCCACACAATCACTGATAGGAAGCCAGGAGTATATTAAAAATTTCTCCCACGCTACTTTCTGGCGGGAGGTGCACGTGGGGGTGCATTGCACAGAAAGTGTTTCTGTTTGCTGCCTTCACCCCAAATCTTTTGAACTCAGAGAGCAGCAGCAAAGCGCCCACAGAGCTGCTTTTGCCCCCTGGTATTTACAGTTTGTGGCGGGTGTTTCTGAGCCCCTCACAGGCATCAGGGCTTGGCAAAACAAAATGAGAATGAGTGCATTAAGTCATCCCCTCAAAAAGTCTGTGCTGGGTTTGAAGCAGAGAGGGCACAGCAAGAGAAAAAAGAGGGAACATGCTCCCAGCTTGTAGCAGAAATGGAAATTAAATGTTGATTTAATATCACTAAATTGGTTAATTTAATATCAATTAGATACTATGAGTGTCATGTTGCTGCTACTGCTGCACCCCCAGATCAGGCCAGTGCAGCCTGGGCTTTCCTCAGGCAGGATATTTTAGATTTAAAGCAAATTCAATTCTTTTGACAAAGGCGCTTCCCCAGCTGACACTTCCAGGGCTTGACCCTTCTCAGGCTCCACACCAGCACTGCTCTGTGCAGCAGGTGTGTCCTCTCATGCCTTTGGGAGAGCCAGGGGATTTGGGTATTGCAAATTTTAAGCCCTTCCTGGAAACACAGGGATTAGTAGTTAAAGCCGAGCACGCTGCAGGCATGAAGTGACTCGCATTGATGGGGAATTGGAAGAAAAACAGTGTTTGGAAAGAAGCAGCAGCATTTTTGGACTCTCTCCCCAAAGCCATGTGGCTCGTGAAGGGTCTTGGTGTGGGTGTGATGCCTTGGGAGGGGGGGGTCTCACCAGGTGCACTACAGTGTTTTGGGGGATGCTGAGCTCAGACCTCTGTTGTGTCAAGCAAAGAGATGGCTGGAGCAACAGCAGCAAGAAATAATCCAGTGTGTGCCGGGTGGCTTTTGTCAGACAGAAATAATCCTCTATTGTGGAGCTTTTAAAATTACTGGTTCTCTGCAGTGTTGGACTCAGAGACTGTGGTGATGCTGCGGTTCCTCAGATGAGTTATGGAATTAAAAATCCCTTGTAAGTGGCTTAAACAGCTGCATTTGTGTGGGCTGGAAGCTCAGGGGCTCATGAACATTTCTGGGTGTTCACTGTTTGCTTCTGCATTGCTGTGCCAGCAGTGACACCCTGATGGTCCAGTCCATCCTCCTTCCCCATCCTTCTCCCCCATCCATTCCCCCAAAACTGGATCTCCCAGAGACGGGCGAGACAGGGAGCAGGATGGCTGAGGTTGTGTCTGCCCCACAGGGAAGCTGAAAGAGTGGAGCCTCATCTTCTACGGGACAGGCGAGCACCCCTACAGCGCACTGAGTGTGCCCCAGTCCCGGGGGAGGTCACTGGAAGTGCCAGCATCGGAGATGGAGCCATCGAGAGCCGCCTTCCTGCAGAGCCAGGTGGAGGTGGCGGAGGAGGAGGAGGAGTACGCGGGTAAGCGCTGCCTGAGCTGCCACGCTGCTCCCCCCAGGAAAATGAAATCCTGATAAAAACTGGGGGAGCCACGAGGTCTGATCCTGCCTGGGGCTGAGGCAGGCTGGGAGGAGCAGTGCCTGTGGCCAGCACGGGGCAGCAGGATGGTGAAATTAGAAGGTAGGAAATGCCCCATCCCAGCCACAAATTGGTGGTGCAGCTGTCTGAGGGGTAAAAAAAGCTCCACCTTCCCTCCTCCAGCATGGGCAGGGGTGGGTGTCTCTGCTGCTCCCTGAGAGCAAGTCCCTCTTTCAAAGCTGCTGCTGCACTGGTGCTCAGCCAGAGGATGGTTCAGTGGGATTCATTCTGGGAAGGATGAGCTAAAGGAAAGACAAGCACTCAAAGCCATGCAGCTCTATAGGATAGATAGGATAACATTTAAAATACAATAGATATAGGATATAGAATAAGATGGGGGAAGAGTCCAGGTGTCCATTGGTCCAGGGAGGGGTGTATTCAGGGCATCCTGGCAGTGGTGCCTGGAGGGTGCTCAGCTTCTCCCACACTGAGCTGGTCTCTCCCTCCTCAGGTCCGTGCCACCCTGAGTGTGGTGACCAGGGCTGCGATGGCCCCAACGCTGACCAGTGCTTGAACTGCATCCACTACAGCCTGGGCAGCGTGAAAACTGGCAGGTGAGGGGTGGTGGGGTGTCCCCATTGGGTCCCTGGGTGACAGCAACACCTTTCCTCAGGTCTCACAGCTTGTGTGGGTGACAGATGTTTACATAAAAAAGAAGTGTATGGGAAATTACATAGGTGGAGCAAGAGGTGTGAGGATTTCTGTCCTGAATTAGGGTACAGTGGGGTGGAGGACATGGAGTTGGAGAGCCCTCGAGGATCTTGGCCACACAATTATGTTGGGGAAGAAGCTTTGGCTTCACCGGCTGGAGTCACCCACACCCAAGGGACAGCCAGCTGAGCTGCCAAGTCACTGCAGGAATTGGGGTTTCCACTCCTCAGTCTCTTGGGATGGCACAGGGAAACTTTACCTACAGCTGGGATGAGAGAGTTCCTATCTCCAAATTAGACCTGTGACTTCCAAGATGCTGTAAATCACAAGAATAAGAAGTAAGCAAGGTCAAATTGCTGCCAAGGCTGGGGGACGCTGTGGGTGAGGGGACAGTGGCAGGTGCCCGAGGCGGGAGGTGACCGGTGCTGGCACCAAAGCCGGTTCCCTCCCCAGGATGTGCGTGAGCTCGTGCCCTGCTGGGTTTTTCGGTGACAACGGCGCCCGGAGGTGCCGGCGGTGCCACAAGGGCTGCGAGCGCTGCGTTGGGAGGGGACCGAGCCAGTGCACGGCCTGCAAGAGGAACCTCTACCACCAGCCCGAGATGGGCACCTGCGTGCTGCTGTGCCCGCCCGGGTTCTACGCCGAGGAACGTAAGGATGGTTATCACTTGCAAGTTGCAGCACGTGGATGTGCAGGGGTTGCTTCTATTTTAAGTGCTATGGGTGGAGAACACACCTTGATTCTTGAGTACTGGCTTTGAATTTCCCTCTTGACACACTTTGAACAGTGAAAGGAGGAGGGAAACCTCTGGGTGTTCAGAGGGTGGTGCAGAGCAGAGGTGCTCAACTCAAAGCTCTTAATTAGAAGACTGTAATTAATGACCCTGGCTGCTTGCAAAGCATATTTTTTTTTAGCAAGCAGTGACAGATAAGGTCACCTGCAATAGCAAGGATCTTTTGGGAAGAATGTGCCTTTCCACCCTGGGGAGCTGGTGCTGGGGTGCAGTGGGGCTTTGCGGCTCTGACTGCTGCTTGCAAATCACCGTCCGGATTTTATTCTCCCTGCATTGCTTTGTTTTTTGAAAGGTCAGAAACGCTGTCTGAAATGTCATCAAAGCTGTAAAAAATGTGTTGGCGAAGCAGACAAATGTACAGCATGCAAAGAGGGATTCAGGTAAAACACCAGCCCGGGAGGAGTTGATACCTGCAGCACTCATACCTGTGGTTTAAATTAGGGGAAACCGATGGGAAATTAGAGTGAATTAAGTTCAAGACTAGAGATTCTGCTTCCACAGTGCTGTAGCTGTGGTGCAGTGTGCCTAGACCTAGGAGGTCTAGGGATTTAAAGGTGGCAATTAGTGTCCCTTTCTTAGCTGAAAACCGTGATTTAAATTTAATTTCATTTTTCCCAGCTCTTTCCAGGGTGGTGGGTAAGTGCTGCGTAGAGCTGGTACCAGCCTGAGCTGTTCCAGGCAGGCTGAGAATCCCCACTGCAAAGGCAGAAACCCTTCCCTCAGAGTCATCCATGCTGAAAATTTTATTTGGTGAACCTGTTGAGTGGGGCTAGTACAGGACTGATTTTCCAGCACTGCAGGTGCAGGCAGAGCCCTCTGAGGACCACTGGGTGCCACTGCTGCTGGCCCCACAACATCTGCAGGACACAGAGCCCAGTGTCAGCTCTAGGGAGAAGCTGTTTTTCATCCCCAGTTGCTCAGGGAAGTACAATCCCACAGCAGTCTGCAGTGTTTAGGCACTGTAAGTGAGTCAGAGCCACGGTGTAGCAGTGGGGCTCTCTCAGACAAAGAAATTCCCGCTGCCAAAAGATTATCTACTCCCTCGGAAAAGCACAAGTGGAGGCACTTGTCAGACATAATCCGCACGGCGCTTGTTTTTTATTGTCCAATATCCTTTTAAGCCAGGACTTCAAATCATCCCTGCCACGGCGAAGCAGCACCGGCCCGGCCGCGGCGCTGAACCAATTTCCTTTTATTCTGGGGAGCCTCAGTGGTGCAAAAGGTCTTCAGGAGAGCCTGGCTGCCTGCCCATGGGAAAAAAAATAATTTTATTTCCTCCTGGATACTTAATTAAGGAGCCTGCAGCTGTCCCTTTGGTCCAGGCAGGATTTTAACTTCTTCTAAGACACTGATAAGCTGGCTGATTTTCCAGCACCTTCTGTGCTACAGGCTGAGGGTGCCATTGGACTCTGGGAGATGAGGAGATGGGAATGGGCTGTGTTGAGTCCTCATATCCCACAGCTTTGGGTGCAAATGTTCTCTGCTTTCCTGGCAGCCTGGCAGGGGAGAGCTGTGTGCCAGAGTGCCAGCCTGCCATGTACCTGAGCCGGGAGCCACGGCGGTGCGAGACCTGCCCTGCCAGCACAGGTATGGCCTTGGTCCCACGGCATCCCATGCAAAACCCCAAACCCCTCCTGCATCAGATGCCACTCCCCACTGTACCCACCCTGAGCCGAGGCAGAGCGTGCTGGGGGAATGCAATCCCAAGTCTCCAGCACATCCTGTGAGGTATATGTTCATGCTGGAAAGGTTTTTAGGGGAGTTTTTACATTTTTATTAGAGCCATTTTTTATTTCTCGATCTCCCCGAAGCCAGGTGCTTTAGTTTAATAAGGTTGCGGGGGAGGCTGTAAAACCCTCCTGGAGTGATGGAAGGTGGCTTTGCAGCGGATAAAAATGTCAGGCAGCTGAGGTGTGTTATCCCGTGTTATCCCAGCCGCCCCACAGTGCCGGGCTGGCCACTCCCGCTTCCCCCAGCTGCCTCAAGTTGCTCAGCATTCCCTTTAAATCCTGCCTTCCTTGCTTCCTGCAAGTCTAATTATTTTCCATTGTTAATGTTTGTGCCTGCCCTCAAAATCATCATAGATCTGATGATAATATGATCTCTAGACAATCCATGTTCAGTGGCATGAACCTCTTCTATCATACATGGGCAATTGCCTCGGTCTAAATCCAAAATATTTATTGATCTTGTTGGCAAGCCTGGAAGGGAATGGGCTTTTATTCCCTGAAGAAAATTATTTCCCTTCTAATTCTTATTCCAGTCAGTGTGAACGTACTCCACCACAATTATTTTTCCAGCCTTTTCTCGTCTCCTTTTCCTGTATAACCATTTCTCAGGCTTGGTGTGTGGAAGCCCTTTAATGATACCACCTCCATCACTGAGCTTTGCTGTCCAGCCACAACACACAGACATCAGAGTGGGGCTCTCTGCTTTCCCAGCTCCTCTCTGGAGCACTTTCCTCCTTCAGTTCCTCCTTGGCCCAGTTCAGCATCTTCTTTTCCATCCTGGGGAAATCCAAATCGATGCATGCTTGGGAGTGGTGGCTGATGGCCCAGAGGGGATGTGCTGGTCCTCACTGAGCCCTGGTAGCCAGCTTTTGGCTCTGCAGAAGAACAGACACTGGGTCCCAGCTGAGGTTTTTGGGATGGAAGCTGAGTTTTTGGGGTGGGAGCCAAGCACATGCACGGGACCCTGTGGCACAACAAGCATTTCGTTCACGAGCAAGACAAAGCCAAGCTGGTGTCCCCATCCCATGAAGGGCTGTGGCCACGCTTGCTCTGTCTCCAAAACCACCCAGGTGCCATTTTTACCCTTGTCCCTGTCCCCACAGGGCCAGGTGAGGATGACTGCACCCCCTGCACCCCCGAGGGCTCTGCACCCCACTGGCGCTGTGTCCCCGCCTGCCGTGAGGGTTTCTACCCCGCCAACAGCCACGGGCTGCCCAACAAAGTCTGCAAGAGGTACAGAACCACCGGAGCAAAGCCAGGGCTGGTGGGGAGCACTGCCAGCCATGACAGGATAATGCTGGAAACAGCTCACAGCTTGATGAAAATGAAAATAGGGATGAGGGAGCCAGGGCAGCTGTGGGGCTGGACCCCACACGGCCCTGCCCTGTGGATTTCAGAGCAGTGAAGCCGCACGCACCCCCGCCAGAGCCAGCCAAGGTGTCTTAGGGCTACAGTGGAAGGGGCTCAGCCTCAGCCCCGGGCTCTCTGGAGGAGGTGTGGGAGGAACAGCAATGTTTAGGTAAATAGCCCAGCTTTCAATTAAACCTGCTCTGTTTGCCCCGTGGCCATGTTGGAGGAGTGCTCCCCTCTCCTCAGCCCAGCAGGGGCTGGGCGCAGGAGACAGGGAGATGCCGGGAGGCAACAATTTGCTCCCACTCTCTCCGGAGCTCTGCGCTTTAACTGGGGAGTGGGAGTGGATTCAGCCTCATGAAAGCAAACACGAAAGGCAAGGATTAAAGCTGATTTGGGAACACACAACGCCATCCCTGCCTGCTGGGGTTTCACTCACCTGCACTGTTTCTTTGGCAGGGAGGAACAAGGGACCAGCATCCCTTCCCAGGGATTTCAGGCACAGTCCCCAGGCAGGAAGCACAGTGCTGGGCTCTGTACTCTGAGCAAATGATGGGACCAGCACAGATTCCCTTTGCAGCTCTTTTTCTAGCTGGGATGGCTGGGAGGTGAGATGCATGTCCCACTGAATCTTCCCAGAAGGAAGATTTTGGGATGTCACCAGCTGTCACTGGCCATTGAGTTGGCCTCACCAAACCCAGGGCTTCAATAATGTTTCAGCTTCAAATTTGCCATTTTCCACATCCTCTGGTTTGGTCTGGCTGTCACAGTGCTAACAGATGTCTTTTGGCTGACGGCCCACTGAGGGTGGCCTGAGCAGGGTGTTGGTGCTGGCTCAGGCCACAGCAAGGTCTCTGTCCCCAGGTGTGATGACCACTGCTCAGCCTGTGAGGGCTCCAGTGGAAACTGCCTCAGGTGTAAGGATGGCTACAGCCTCCTCGGTGGCTCCTGTGTGACAAATGAAACCTGTACCAACGGTAAGTGGCAGAACTGCTAGCACAGTAGTGCTCTCCTGGTAGCAAAATGAGAGGTTTGGGGGATTCCCTTAACCATTTAAAGCTAAAAGTGCTGGAGCTCCTGGGCTTGCTGGGGCATGGCTGCAGTGGGCTGGGCTTGGGTTGTGGTGGGCAGGTGGTTCACCTGGCATTGCTTCTGGATATCTGCCTGTTGCTCAAACACATCCAAGCATTTGTATTTTGTTATAGTTTAATCTTGGGGCTAATTCTCCCACTCACTGCAAAGCTCTTTTATTCCTTCATTAAAACCATGTGAAAGATGCCCTTAAAAAGTGACTCCTTTTCAATTCTGTCTCCCCCAACACTGGCACAGTTGCTGTGCCTGTTACATGCAATGTTTGTTTATTTAAAATGTTAATCTGCTCTCATTTTCTCTTGTTCCTCACCCCGGCCTCCCAGCTGACAAGACTTTCTGTGAGATGGTGAAATCAAACAAGCTCTGTGAAAAGAAGCTGTTTGTGCAGTTCTGCTGTCAGACGTGTCTTATGGCCGGGTAAAGTTCAGCAGCTGCATCCATCCAGGACTTCCACTGACTGCCAGCCCAGTTTTGCCAAATGTTTAGGACAAAAGTTTATTTTTTCAGCTTTGGGAGAGTTTACATGGTGCTGTCAAGCATTTGCTCGTAAGTTTGATAGCTTTAATATCACTGTCGGCACGTTTCTATAGCAATATGTTAAGCAGAGATTGGAGCGTACCCTGAGTGATCAAGGCCTGGAAGCAGCAGACAAGTGGTGATATTAACACTCTCAAACACTCCTGGTGAGCAGGGACCAATGCATGATCCATGTACACACGCTTGGTTCTTCGCAGAAATCCTACTGATCCGCCCGCTCCGAGCGGCCGGCGGGAGCCCTCACCACAAGGGATGCAGGACTTCACACACCTGCGAGGAAAGAGCCAATTCTGGCTCATTTTTGGTACCCTTTTGTGCCAGGTGCCAGCTGATCTAAACCTGCATTGCCAGCGCCGTGCTCTGTACATAGGTCAAACGATGAACCAGGCGGCTCCGGAGCGGGGCCCCACAGCCCTCTCCGGCACTCCTGTTCGGATTCGCTCGGTCACTGCTTCCCTCTGGCCGTGGCAATAACTGGAGGTTTGAGGACCAAAGCCAGAGCTGCCCCCCGTGGCTCTGCAGGTGTGTCAGCCCAGCAGGGCTTTGCCCTGCAGGTAACTGCAGCCAGGCAAAAGCCGTGTGCCTACAAGGAGTTGTAGGGTTTGGGGGTGGCGGGAGGGGTTTGTCCACACAGACCAGCCTTACCACAAAATGTATTTCCCTCCTGGAACTGCTTGTACATTGCTGATTAAGTCAGTTCTGGAACAAGCTAAATCCTTCCTCTAAACGAGATGTTGTCCCAATTAATCTTTCTTGGCATTTTGCGTTACGATCCTCCCCCTGTTTCGCTGGGTACACCCCTCTCTCTCTCACAAAATCCTCCTGTTCATGGCAGTGATTTTTCTTGGGCATCTATTTCCCAAATGAGACATTCCAGGGATCCAGCCAGGAAACTTAATTCTACAAAACCCTTCCCCAAACAAACCTTTTCATGCTCTATCTTAATAGTAAGTCATGTGGTGTTTATATAATTGTGTTTAAAATATCCTTGGCTATGTTGTTTTACAGATTTTTAAAAAATAACTTATACAATCCTTGGGTTTTTTCTCCGTGGACTATTTTTTATATGGGAGTGGGGTATCTTTTTGTGTTTTATTCCTTCTCCTTTTCTCCTCTCTGACCCTGCAAAGCCACTCTTTGCACCAGATGTATGTAAACACTCTTTCCTACGCTGCATGTTCTGATTTTCATTGTTAATAGTTTTAATGAGTTAAACCTTTCTCCAGTGAAATTCCCAGTACAAACTGTCACCAGTTCCACACGGAGCTGGGATAATCCCTGCTTGGTTTCGGCTGCAACGACACCTGCCCTGCCTGGGCTTGCCCACAAGAGCTCACCTCAGCCAGGTGAGGAGGTGAAAGCCACACTGTCTCCAGCCCTAACCTGCCTGGACCAAATCCAAGGAAAGATGAAGCTTTGGTGAACTGATCTTTAAGTTAATAAACTATTGATCTCCCCTGACAAATGAATCTGTGCTTTTTCCAAATTCATGCAGCCCTGAATGGAGACACTGCACGTCCTTACTTTGCTGGACAAAACAGCTCCTCCTGCTCAGCTCAGAGCACTTGTGGGAGAAATGCTCAGGAACAGATGAGCTGCATCTGCAAAAACCTCACTTTTGTTGTTGTAAAGGTCTTTTTACCTCCAGACAAAACTCAGATTCCGAATACCTGCCCTGTGCCAGGCTGGGCTGGTGCACCCAGGGCCATCTTAGTATGGTTTGGGGCTGTGCTGGGGCATGGGTGGGTGTATTCTCCAGTGTGGGGGATCCTGGCTGGCAGAAGGGCTTGCTCCCCTTTCCCACTCACACAAGGAGCATCCTGAGCCCTCCAGTTCCCAACTGTTCCCAGCAGCTGGGAACCACAGGGCCACTGTTCCTTGTTGGCTGTCTGCGAAGGAGAGGAGCCGCTGGTGTGGTTGGGGAAGGGAGGGAACTGTGGAACCCTTTGTTTGTCGTGTTGGTTTTGCAACAACCATGGGCCAAGTGCCCAGGGTAGTGCCTGGATATCTGGAACTGAGCTTTTTAAGTGGGGAAAAAAAGAAAAGAATAGAGCCTTCCCACAAGGGAAGATGCTTTCTCAGAGATGTGCAGCTGTGGATTCCTGCATTTTGTTGGTCTTCACAATCATCAGATGATGAATATGAATTAATCACATACAATGATTCCTTCTCTTGGTGCAGGATTTCCCTTTCAGTCTCAGGCCAAACCAGAGGTCAGAGCTGGGGTGACACACTCCTGGCTTCTGCCCCTTTGGTTGGAAAATACCAAACTTCATTTCTCCTGCTGTGTTAGTGAAAAAACAGGAGCTGTGGATCAGGAGTACTGTGCCAGCCTTTCAGTTCTCTGGCTCACAGCAGCCTGCCTCTAAATACTGCTCCTTGGTATATTTAGATGTACTGAAATTCTACAAAGAAATGAAAATGCTTACTCTTACATCTTGACATAACTTAAAATACACACTGGGGAAGGCAATGCAATTTAAGATGACCAGTCCCTAGCAGTCCCAGCTCTATCTTGCTTTCTGCTGCCTTCCAGCCTGCCAGGGAAAGAAAAACAAATTCTGCACATTGAATTCATGCAACAACATCAGCTTCCAGCGTTTCCCTCAGAAATCATTCTTGTAAAGTAATAAAATTCAGATTATTTCTCCAAGCTGTTGCAATACTTGCTTGGAGCTATTAAAGTCTGACTGGTATGCTCAGAGGATCAAAGTGGCTGTGTCTTCAAGATAAATGCATATTTAGGCAATTTATTAAAGCTCATTTCTCTGTTGTCTCTTGGCACCAAAGCCAAATCTATAATAGCTGTTTTCTGGAAAATCTTAGCGCAGCCTGACTCCTCGTTTGCAGTTTGGCCGTGGGGTTGCAGCCACGGCCATCTGCCATTGTGCAGTTGGCAGGTGGGGAACACAGATCTTAAAAAATCATTGCTTTGAGTTTCCATTGCAAAGAAAGGATTGTCGAGAGCTTGTGTGCAGCGTCTGAAACCCAGAATCCATCTGCTCGCAATTACTATTCTATTGTGGCTGTAGAGCTGAGGCAAACAGATGTATTGTGCTAAGGGAGACAGGTCCATGTTTTATTTGGCCTTCTCAGAGGCAGGACCTGCTTTCCAGGAGGCTGGAAAGAGTCTCCTTATAAGAACTGCCTGAAATGACTAAAGTCTCTGTTGTCTTTAACGCTGCATGATGCCTGAGTCATGTACAACAGTGCTGCTAATTCTTGGGTTTTTCCTTGTGACAGCTCCCTCTTGTTCTTGCTGCCTCCTATGTTATAAAACAAATGCAGCTGTTATAAAAACCTGACTCTGTGCTTTCCCATACAGCTCTGGTGAAGGAGTTTTCACAGCAGGGAGCACAGGAGCTGCCTGAGCCCAGCTGAACCCTGGCAGGGCCAGCTCTGACGCTGCAGGTCTGGGGACTGAGCCAGGCGTCGTGCCCAGGGTGATGCCCTGAGAAGCTCCCAAAAGAAAAGCATGAGCCATCCCTGTGAAGTGCCAAGTGTGGCTGCAGCGTTTGGCCTGCTATAACATCCTCTGGGTTCACAGAAATGTCATGTCTCACAAAAAATAGCCTTCCCTCGATGGCAGTGGAGACAGAAATCCTTCCTCATCCTGCTCCGCAGGCCTTGAAGGCTGGGGAAGGATTTCCCCAGAAGTAGTGGCTTGGTGACATTCAGCAGGTTTTGGGGGTCTGGGGGTGTCACTTTCAGTTCAGTCACCTGCACTGTTCAGCCATCAGCTGAGCCCTTCCCAGCAGTGCCAGGCAGTCCCCAAGGCTCAGACCCAGGGGCCTGGGTGGGAGCTCCTGGCCAGGCACAGCAGCCAGAGCCACCTCAGCTCCCCCAGCACAACTCATAGCTTTTCCTTGCTGTTCCCCAAATCCTTAAAGCCAGGTAGGGGGATGTAGTGACATTTGCAGGCAGGTTTTATCTCACGGATAAAGAGTGTGTGTCGTGCTGCAGCCTGTGAGGTGTTCTCAGCCCATCATAGCAACTCTGAGAGCAGGAACGCACACGGAAGGGATGGAGAAACTGTCCCAAATGCTGCAGGGGGAAAGCACTTATGGGCAGCACAATGTCCGGGAGCAAAGGCTGAGCTGCTGCTGGGATGGACGGAAAGCACTGAGAGCTGTGGTTGTAGAAGATGCCCTGGATCTGCAGCAGGAGGGAAGCAGCAAGTGCTTGAACACGGTTCTGTCCGAAGGGAAGCACCAGCCATGGCAGGACGTGTACTCCCGCTCTGCCCGGATTTCTGCAGATAAATCTGTGCCTGGAAACACCAGAAGGTGGGAGGGAGCCTCTGGTGGCACCTGTGCTTCTCTAGGGCACTGCTGACGGCAAAGCCAAGTCCCTTCTGAGCTTGTAGGGGCTGAGGCGTGGGGCTGGGAGCTGGCCCGGGGAGGAGCGGGATGAAGGGATGGGTGTGGGGAGCTGCACCGGGCTCTGAGGAGGGGAATGGAGGGATGGGCGTTGGGGGCTGTACCGGCCCGGGAGGATGGGAAAGCGGGGCTGTACCGGGCACTGAGG